GTAGAGGATAGGAAAGGTAGCAGAATACAACAGTTACTATTATGGCATTATGTAAAAATGTGGATGTGTAACCGATGTGATTCTGCAATCTTTGTAATGTTTTGAATAACCAATTAAAAAAATAAAATAAAATAAAATAAAAATAAAGATCCTGCCTCCAAATACAGTCACATTCTTAGCTACTGGGGATTGGCTTCAACATGTGAACTTTGGAGAACATAATTTACCCCATAACATACCATAACTATTAAAAAATGGCAAAAGGGTGAATGGAGAGAGCACATGCAAAAACAAATTAGCTGTTTTCAGTAATTATAATAATAGGCTAGTACTGTGTTGATATTATTATTATTCTGAGACTGTTATATGTATAATTATTTGCAAATACTTTCTGTGTTACCATTCTCTGTATACTCGACAAACCAGTATCCTCAATGTGGAATAAAGGAGACAGATTTACCTTAAAGGAGGTCAAGTTAAAATGACATTCTCCCATTGTTGCTGTTTTTCTTCCTCCTATTCCCTTGCTCCCCTTCTCACTGAGCATGCCATCACTCAACCTCCAAATGCAGCTTTCTCAAGGACTCACTTCCCCAGTCATCTTCTGTCTCTGAACTCACTTCATTACTGAACTCCAGTCTCATTGCTTTACATCATCTATATATCTTGCCAATGCTAAATTTCTTTCTCTAATCTACATTTCTTTCTTGAACTCTCTCTTCTGATGTTTCTATATCAGTTCTGATGTTTCTATATCAGTCTATATTCAAGTTCATTTATTTCTCTATTATATAAATTCTGTTAAAAGGCTTATACAGAGGTTTTGTTTAACCTCAGGTATATTTTTGAATTCTAAAATTTCAATTTTATTTTATTTCATAGCTGATAATTTCCTACCTTTTAATTCATTTCAAGTAAATTCACCTTTACCTCACTAGTCATGACAAAGACTTTATGTGATATCCACATAAATACCTAAGAGTTGGTATGTGCTGATTTTCTTTACTCCTGAGAATGAATCACATTTTTCTGACTCTTTTTAGAATGCTCATTCCAGAGATTTTTAGATTATATGCTGAATCCTGTAAGTATCATTTTGTACAAAGTATTTTGTTCTGAAAAGCATTGATRTATTTGTTTTAGGGGGATCACTCATTTAATTAGATACAATTATAAAATGCCATACCTACCACGTGTGGTGTTTCAAAACTCTAGTTTTTAAATCTATTTACAATCTCTTGCCAGTCTGTCATGCTTATAAATGGTTCCAGGGCTCAACCAGAGATATGGACTGAATGTTTTTAAGTTTATAATTCAGATCCTCTTCTGGCTGCCTCTTTTCTGAGGTTACCAGTCAATCTCCATATAGTGTGGGGTTGCCCCAATGCTTCTTACTCTCTAAGTTTCCACACAGAGAACTTTTTTTGTTAAAATAAAACTTGCAAAACTCAGTCCATGTTTACCACCTATTCCAAGTTTTGTCTCCTTTCTAAAATCTCCCTACTTTATAAAGTCCTCAGAGTAAATAAGTGGATGTTTTCTGTATTGTGTCCAGAGTTTCCAGTTAGTTATTAATAGGAAGACCTACCCATTTGATAGGAGATCACCTATCCACCCTTCAAAGTGATTTTTTATTTTGCAGGTCACTTTTTACTTTTTCTCTTAACAGCACTTTATCATAATAAACAGATGAAAACCATTATATTATCATAATTTAAATATTAAATGCAAAAGAGAACACAAATCTAAATACTGAAATGTCTAGTAATGGATACTAATTATTATAACAGGAGGACACATAACAATTATGAAATGTTCCAAAATATAAAAACTTTGTTAGAATATATTTTGAAACCTGAGATCAAAGGACACCATATTATAAGTCTTCATGAGCTTGTAGACATTCTATAACTCCAATCAAGCAAAGCTCTACAATAAAAAAGTACATTTTATTTACTAGACAAAGTTACAGTGAGATTCTCTGTATTTTAAATATTAATTCCAAACTTAAATGTTTAATTAATTGATAAAGTGATGAATTTATTAGCATTTATTAACTGTTTACAGAAAATAATCAAGTACAGAAAATTCACTAACTATACTACTTAAAAGCAGGTATTTACACAGCGGGAAAACTGTCTAATTTGTACAGTAACCAATAGGTCAAAGTCACTAAGGACAGCCTACACAGTGCTAACTTGATGACATTACTTGGGGGGAGAATTAATTCATTTACTTCAGGGGCCACGTGTTGACATTCTATCTACATTAAGCTCAGAATCATAAAGAATTCTATCTGACCTCCAAAACTACAGAAAATTCCATATAGCTTGAGGCAATATGAATATTGTTACTACATAACACTAAATAATTTAAGSATTTTTCAAATCAGAAAGACATTTGATTACTATACCCTACATACTTTTGAATTCCAGCTGCAGACCCCTACTCTCACTCAGAGGAGTGACTCCACCCCTTCAATTTTCTTGACCAAGAAACTTGAGACTACAATATGTGAACCATTCAGCTTTATTTCTGTCATCTGCATCCTTTTCTCTTTTTCTCATTCTTTGGATTTCAAGGGAAAACTTCTATTATTAACAGTTTTAGATGCAACATATCACAGTAGCAAGTATGCTTCTGTGATTTCAAATTGAGAAGATGAATTTGTACCTACAGTCAATCTTCATTAACAAGGGGCTCAGTAGGCTGGAGACTTTCAAAATTTAAAATACTTTTCTGGGTAATGCCCATAATTACACATATTTTCTTTTAAAATTTTCACCATTACAAAATAGTATGACAAGAAAGAACCATATGATAAATCACTAGTTTGCAAAGCTGTTCAAGACAATGTTTGCTCCTTTCTGAACAGAAGATTTATATAACTGCTTATATTTCATTCTTTTCCTTTCTTTCTGCCAGGAAGATCCAATTAACTCTGAAATTTCACCACAATAATAATATTGGATTTACAGTTTATATAACTATATGTCCTGACTTTTTATCATTATTTATATCTCATTATTTGTCACTCTATTTAATATAATCCTATTAATGCTTGAAAAAAGCTCCTCTAAATATTTCGTGGACAAGGCAAAGAAACAGGAAAGGAAGGCTGGTTGCATATTAACCAAAATTATGAACTGATTCTCATGCATAGTCAACACATAGCAGGACAAGGATTCAAACAAAACAAAAGGACCAATGTAGGAAAGAACAGTCAGACTACGACAAATTTATTTGTAGGGGTGGTGTGGTAATATTACTTTTGACATAAAAATAACAGGACTACTGTGACTATTTTGATTACTAAAATCACTAGAAACAGAGAATTTTTAATAAGGGTAATTTCATATTGTTGCTTACGTATCTAACAGCATAATGATGAAACAGAAATATCAAGTCAGAAATACAAAGGCAAGATAAGGAATATTTTATTGTTTAGTACTCCTCTCCTATAAAACAATCTTCTCATTAATTATTTAAATCCTAAGTTTAAAAATATGACAGTACTTCAGCACAGAACATGTACTCCTTAAAAATTATAAACACTATGACTTATAATGTATAATTCTATCTCAGCTCCAAATAGTTAGGGATGTCATAATTCCCAATGTGATTCAAATAAAATCCACACATAATTCCCTAGCCAAGTGTGCTATACATTAAAAATTAATTCATATATGTGAATGTTCTATCTTGCCTAAAACCTTTCATTTTGAAAGCTAAATTTAAAAAATAGGAACATGATGAATCATCATAAATAATAAACATTATAAAATTAGGACACTCATATACATTATGAACTTCCTCACATATTGCAAAGAACAAGCAACAGAAGACACTAAAATGGAATAGTGTTAAATACACAACATTTCATAATATTTTCCTTCTAAATCTATAACTACTTTTTCAAGTTACTGCTAATATAACAAGTCATTTCAAATGTCCATTTATACAGTACAAGTATTTCAAAATTTATATTTCAAATATTATTAAGTAAAATAGTTTTATAAAATTTATTTTTTCAGAACTGATAACAAAAGGCATGCCTGTAACATTACAAAATTATGAAAAGTAAAAAAATTCATGAAGGGAAAATAAAAAAGTGCCCTTTAAATAAAAAGAAATATTGCAACCGCTAACTTGAGTTTCAAAAAATAAAGATGACTCTCACCTATATTCACTGAATCTTATATTTTCTTAGGCCACATTTTTACAACTAAATTTTACACAGAACTTATAATAACATAGTCATTCCTACCTTGTATCCAGGTCCTAATTGATGAATTGCAAATATTTGTGCTGGGTTGAGTGCTTCACTGAACACATACACGGCACCAAGTTGACCACAGAATACCCTATTTGCATCAGCAGTTTCTGAAGATCCCAGAAAGCACTTGTCATAGCTCTGTTTTTTAAAAGTCACACAAAAAAAAGTTATTATTTTGTAAGGACAGAATATTTAAGGAGACCTGTCTTCATCACCATAAATATCTTAAAATATCACAATAATAGAAGAAAGCATCAATGAAGATTTTATGGAACATTTAAATAATAAAAGCCAATAAAGATTTTTAGAGAAAACAAAAGTCTATCAAATGATTTATATTCGAATTTGACTTCACTTTTCCATTATGGATACATTCCTCTATTTTTATACACTATGAAAATGGCACAAAAAGAATCAGTCATTCTCCTGAGTAGGCAGTACACAGAATCAAATAAAAAATGATCCTTTAAATCTGTTGCCTAAAGCAGAGGGTACAGTGCTCTACATCTAGAGGCTTTAGCAACTAAGGAGCCATGCTTAAGAAGACCCTTCCCACCTATACTTTAAAACTCCCAGTGAAAGAAGTCACTGCTCAGTTTCATTCACTATCACTGGATACTCCACACATTAATTTTAATAAACACGATGATATCTATCACTTTATATACGTGTGTGTATACACACACACACACACACAAACACACACAATCATACATGGAATCTCTCTGGTGCCTCAATAAAATGCGAAATTATGAATTGAGTACAAAGATAAGAATGCCTCATTAAATATGAAAGCTATAATTAAAAGATGTGACTAAAGTATGCAAATATGTGCTACTACTCAGGCTTCTCCATATTCTGAAGCGCTATCAAAAATAATTCAAAAACCTAAATCTTTTTTTAATACTATCCTATAAGCTAATGTCATTCAACAATACCATTGGAGTTTTCTTTCACTCAATAATTAAAAAACTGTCCTCTACACCAGAGAATAAATAGGAATGAGAATTTAATCTGTGTTTCCTAATTATTCTCTTTAAATATTCATTGACTATACCTCAACTATGAGTTTACAGGGAAGAAAAAGAACGTTTTCCTCTAAAGGCACAGTTAGGACAATGAATGTTGTAAGTTTTGCAAGCCACTTGTACATTCTGTTGCATATTCTTTTTTGTTTCTTCCTGTCTTCTAAAAAAWTTTTTTTAATGTGAAAAACATGATTCTTGGCTTTCAATCATACAAAAACAGTCTGAAGGTCAGATCTGGCTACCTCCCCACACTTCTATCAGACAAACTATGGATAATGCATACAGTGCTATTTTAGAGACTACAAGAGAATATAACTCCTGCCCCACATAAGATTAAAGGTAAAAGAGATGCAGATAAAATTGACAAGTGAACTGTGCTAAAAATAAAAGGCAAGTCATTATAAAATCAGAGATGTTGAAAGTATTGCATATTATTGGCCTTGAAGGTGCTCGGGGCATTAAATCATATTATTACTTTGGATGTAATAGGCCAGAAAAACAAGGAGAGGCACAAAGTAGAAAAAGAGTAGACACACTTGAGATTTCAACTCTACATCTCTTATCTAGAATCCAACTGTGTTATCTCTTCCAGGGCTAACACGCTTGATGAAAATATCTTCTCTTTGCTATTATTGTAATAAGTCATCTAAATTATCTTCTTTCTTTTATAGTCATTTCCCTTCAAGGTGTTCTCAATATTGCGGCCAGATTGATGTTTTTAAAATATAAGCAGTCATTACTTTTTTGCTGAAAACCTTCCATATATTTTTACCATGGGTAAGATGGGAAAGCCCAGGCCTTATGTTTGCTTATGAGATCCTACATGGTTTGACCCCCTTGCATCTACCTAACTTCTTATCACCACTCTGTCCCTTTCTCCCTCTGCTGTATACAAATTGTTATTGTTCTTTGAACTTTCCAATTCTGCTCTAAAGCCTTTGTACTTATTCTTCCCACTGCACTATAAGTACCCAAATATCCACATGGCTATTCAACTCTTCTCAATAAAATCATCATGGACAATCTGGCTTCTCCATTATCTACACTCTCTTTCATAGCTATTCCCCACTTTATTAGTCTTCATAACATTTAGGGAGAATAATAGTGACTAAAAGTTATCTATTTTATTTAAAGTCTTCCTTCTATATCCTAAAGTGGTAAGACACATTTTTATAGTGCTGGAAAGAATAAAATACTAAATGTTTCTTGATCTAAAATACTGAAAAACATGTCCAAGTAATGTTTCTTTTAAAAATTCATATCTTTTTGCAATTTAAATATACTATATTTAAGACTTAAAAGATTGACTAAATAAAAATAATAAACTTTCAAAGTAAACTTCTATAAGACTATTTTATTTAATACTTGTAATATTAACAGACCATACTCTCAAATATATTAAAACACAGATTAAAAAGAAAAAAACTTACATCATTTGTGTTCACATGCCAAGCCATATCACCATAAGATACCAGCTGTCCATTAACATAACACCGGATTTCACTGTTCCTCCATCGATTGTAAATGTGGACAATGCTGATCATATACCACTTAAATTAAAAATAATTTAAAATATCAATACATAATGTTTAGTTATCATTGTCTAAAATGCAACCCTAACTTTAATAACAAGCTGTAAGAAAATGTTTGAAAGTCAGACATGGTAGCACATGCCTATAATCCCAGATATTCAGTATGCTGAGACTAACTAATGTTTAGTTATCATTGTCTAAAATGCAACCCTAACTTTAATAACAAGCTATAAGAAGATGTTTGAAAGTCAGACATGGTAGCACATGCCTATAATCCCAGATATTCAGTATGCTGAGACAGGAGGACAGCAAATTCAAGGTTAACCTGGGCAACTTAGTGAGACCCTTCTTGAAATAAAAAGGGATAGGGTTGTAACTCAGTGGTAGAGTACTTGACTAGCAATGGRCAAGGTCCTGGCTTCATTCTTCACTATCACAAAAAAGAAAACGTTTGAAGGACTATTGATGCATCACTCACTACCATTTTCTCGTTACTTTTTCTCATTTCTCACTATACAAATCAAAGAAGTGGCACATAAAGATTAAATCTATAGGGGCTGGAGTTGTAGCTCACTGACAGAGAGTTTGCGGAGCATGTGTGAAGCACTAGATTCAATTCTTAGCACCACACATGAATAAATAACAACAAAGACCCATYGACAACTAAAAAAACCCTTTAAGGAAAAACGAATAAATCTATAATGAAGAAAGAGCTAGAACACCTTGCTCCCTATACTGACAGTCCTCTTTCACTATACCATGATTAAAAAATGATAAATACAAGTATATTTTTGTTCCTCATTTCTTCACTTAATTACATTTTTATTATGTCGGGCGTTTCAGATGCCCAGTTCTGACCATAAGCCTAGTTATCCTATAATTTATGATCTAGTCAAAGGGATGTGCAAGAGGCAAATAAATAATTACAAATCACTACATGCAGTACACAAAGGAAAGAACAGCATAAACTGAGAAAGAATAACCTAAGATTCTACTATGAATTACATGGTCAGAAAGACACATCCAAGGAATATTATTTCAGCATCTGTAATAAGATTCAAGATATTGAAATTCTGTAACTTATGTGTACTAAATCCACTAATTATTACATATTTTTAACTTAATAATGTGTGAATAGTCATTATAGATCAATAAATGTGTTCCTCTTGAGTTCTTATTTTCTATTACTAATGTCAACAAAAACCATTTTAAGTGTCAATTTTGATATGACCTGGTCAAAGTTTATAACCATTTATGGATCCAATTCCTAAATTTTTCATACTTAATAGCCTAAGGCAGAGAACACAGAAATACTTCCCCTGAAGTACAGAAAGATACTGATGTTTTCTAGATATTTGAATAAGTATGCCCTCAGGTGTTGATGAAACTTTAGACATAGCACTAAAAATAGATAAAGATCAGATAGTAAACAGATTTATAGAATACCTTTAGAAATCTGGGCTTTTGGGTTTTTGCATAATGTGATACCACTAAAGAATTTTGATCAGAAAAATGAAAATAACTATGGTGATGACTATAGTTTAGGTGGCAGCAATGCTGAAGTGGAATAGTTAGGCAAAGTATGGATAAACATAAACCTGAAAAGCTTTAGGTAAGAACTATTAAAAGCCTGAATGAAGACAAAGGAGAGGGGATAAAATAATAGACTGATCAGAAGCACTGATATGAAAAAGAGGAGTCTACAAAGGTTTCCAATATTTCACTGAGAAAGGCAGTAGCACTATTAAAATATTTAATAAAGATTGTTGGCTTTGGAGTTAAAAAAAAATAGTTTGCTTTTGGTTGTAACAATGATGATAAGATAAAATAAATGAATAAATGAAAAGACTCATTCATAAATGAATTAATTTATCTCAATTAAGTCCACATTATTTTTTTTTTGAAAATCTATTTTTCTGCCTTTTTTCCTTGAAACATGTACTCTACAGAAAATGGACACACATTGAGTTTCCAATGCTTCATAAGAGCCCAGCTTTTGACTTTATATTTTTCAATTAAATAAAATCAGAAAAACTAGAAGACTATGTATGCATTTTGACATTGTGTATTTATATGAGGTCAACATTTAGTATGAGACCCACTAATTACTACCATCTAACAGATGTATCTAAGGAGGACACAACCAGGAACAAAAATGTTTATTCATTCATATTGAGAACTCAAAGGTATATAACTTTCTTTAAGATAAGAACAATAAAACATGATTATCTATACAAATTCCAATAGTAACAAACTTTCTACAAATTAGGTAATATTAACTAATGGTTTACATCAGTTTTATAAAGTCATACAGCTAGCACGCAGTCAGCTGAGAAAGCAAAAGTCTAACATAGAGGGAGACAGGGAAAATGGTGGATCAGAGGAATTGTAGCAATACACCTAGACAGATTTAAACCAGCAGTTCTACAGCAGCATATTGAGGTACAAAGGCTGTGAGAAAACTCCAGTGGGAAAATTAGAGAGCTACCAATTAGAGCAAAACCAAAAATATTGGTTTCTAGAATACATACAGAATAAGAGGAATAGACTATGACAGCACCATGTGCACAATAGCTCACTTGAGCAAAGGAAGCTCCTCTCTAAGGAGCCAAAAGAAGTTCTCCCACAGAATTTAAGATAAACAGTTATGGCTATCCAATAAATGATCAATATCAACAGAAAATAAGATCAGATACAGCAAGTACAGCCAGCGCACAAGACAGTCCCTGCACTCTTCAGAGCAGATAGTGAAAATGGAGAAGCAGCAACACCTTAAAAGACTTTAGACTTCCTGAACAGGAGACAAGTAACACAGAAAAACTTAAGCTGTGACAGATGCTGCAGTGCCCAATCTATCAAACTGTAAAGCAGAGAAAAGCAAAGGGCACTTTCAATTGAAATCATCAGTCTGAAAAAGAGCATGGCTGATAGGGTGAAACCTGAGATCAGGGTCTGGTGGAAAGCATGACCCCAAGATAACCTACTGCAAGACCTATGCCACCACCTCATACCCAGAAGTGTCTGGAGAAGAGACTGCTATGTCACACACCTACCCCCAGAATACAGACTAAGGTTCTATGAATGAGAGGTGTGATGCAATCAGATAAATCTACAGGYTGCACAGGCAGGAGGGCTGGCCAACAGCCCTGCCAGACTTACACTCCTACCCCTGGTCACATTAACAAAGCCATTTTGAGGGGCAGATCTGCTCAGAAACAGACAACACTCCCAAAGAGAAGCTGTCAGGCAAGAAGGTGGCAGAACTCAACATTCAGACATCCCTAACAAGTCTGTTTATTTCCAGTCAGAGCTGAGAATAAACAGTACAACGTTTGTGTCATATAACTTCCTCACGGTAGGAAAATTCTACCAAAACACTGGAAAGAAATGTCTCCACTGTAAAACACTCAGCAAGAAGAATGAAAAAAATAGTTTTATGACTGTTATTGTATTAACTGATTCTTATTAGACTCTTCACTCATTTGGTTCTTTTTCAGAGTTCCATCTAATTTTAATTATTCATCAATTAACTGAACCCTCTCTCAATACCTCCTATCTTCTTTCTCATTTCCCTTTCTTTCCCCTCTCCTTCATCCTTTTTTCTCTCCTGATTCTGTCTTCCTTCCCTCCTGGGCCTTTTATTCTTCTTTCATTTCTATTGTATTTATTTCTATCCCATTTTCCAATTCAATTTAGTCCACTATCATCAATTTTTAATCTCTTCAGCATTATTGTTTTCTCTTTGATTAACAGGGTTGTAGAGACCATTAGTAATGACTTTTATAGCATATGTTGATATATGGTTTCCTCTTTTTTTAACTTTTAATATTTTATATTTCTGCTATTGATTAAATATATATTTTACTGTTTTCTTTAATAGTAAAAGAAAGTTCTAAAGATGACTCATTAAAAAGGTATAAATTTATAGATTAAAAGAAATTGTCCATTAACAAGTGACGAGTGAAGATAAAAGGATTTGATGAGTGTTCTAGTCTGGGACAGATAACACATTCAGTTAACACTTGTTTCCTAAAGTTGTCTTACAGAGACTCTAAAAGTGTCCTTGCTATTATAACCTGTTAATTACTAATGAAGCAGCTGTCATTCATAGAGGTTGACTATTTGTCCCATATTTACCTAATTAGTAAGTATCTGTCCTGTGGTTTGACTGTAGCCTTACCTAGCTGAAAAATCCATTGTTGGTTTCCTCTTAAATTACTACTGTTACTGGCACTATCTCCTCTCAAATTCTTACTGGTGGTTAAAGACTTAGATTATGCTGACTGGACACACTAAAGCTGAGAAACACCCATAGCCCACAGCTTATTATAAAGAGATAACTACTCACTAAAGGATACCCACATAAATAAGAAGACAAATCCAAGTCAACAGATGTGCAAAAAAAGAACCTCTGAAAACACAAGGAAACAGTGCAGCAAAAGGCCTCTAAAAAGTTTATATCCCTCAATAGCTAAACCCACAGATAGTGACTGAAGTAGATGAATTCCTTGACAAAAAATTCAAAAAGTTGATTGTAAAAATAATAAATAAATCAAAAGAAGATCTCAGGAAGTATCTGAGGGAGAAATATAGGATATGAAAGCCTTTCAGTTAAGAGGCAGATATTCTGAAAAAGAACTAAAACAGAAATATTGGAAATGAAAAGCTCAATAAATGAAATTTAAAATTCAGTGGAAGATCTTACCAACAGATTAGAACAAGTAGAAGATGGAACTCAGAGCTTTAAGACAAGAGAGTCAGCTTTCAAATTCAGGGAATATATTTAAAAAACAAAAAGAAACTATGATAAGAATATAAAAGAAATCTAGGACAATATTTGGAAGCTGAACTTAGGAATCATTAGACTCCTTAAAGGAATAGAAACACAGGCTAATGTCATTAATAAACCTTTTCAGTGAGATGACAGCAAAAACTTTTCGACACCTTGTGAATGAGATGAACCTCCAAATACAGAGGGCATTTAGAACCCCCAACAGGAAATATCAAAAAAGAACCTC